CTCTCGCTTTCCCATGACAGGAAGTCATGGGAAAACTCCGTAATGGGAATAGATGTCAAAAGAAAAAACAGAGAGGAGGTTATAACCCGCCCTTACTCTATTTTTGCAGATCGTACTGGACCGGAACGCAGGCACATTAGCGTGCAATCTTCTCCCTCTGCTGCCTCTCTTCTCCCTCTGCTGTCTCTCTCTTCTCCCTCTCTCTGCTCTCTTCTCCCTCTCTTCTGCCTCTCCTCTCCCTCTGCTGCTGCCTCTCCTCTCCCTCTGCTGCTGCCTCTCCTCTCCCTCTGCTGCTGCCTCTCCTCTCCCTCTGCTGCTGCCTCTCCTCTCCCTCTGCTGCTGCCTCTCCTCTCCCTCTGCTGCTGCCTCTCCTCTCCCTCTGCTGCTGCCTCTCCTCTCCCTCTGCTGCTGCCTCTCCTCTCCCTCTGCTGCTGCCTCTCCTCTCCCTCTGCTGCTGCCTCTCCTCTCCCTCTGCTGCTGCCTCTCCTCTCCCTCTGCTGCTGCCTCTCCTCTCCCTCTGCTGCTGCCTCTCTCTTCTCCTACTGCTGTCTCTCTCTTCTCCCTCTCTCTGCTCTCTTCTCCCTCTGCTGTCTCTCTTCTCACTCTGCTGCCTCTCTTCTCCCTCTCTCTGCTCTTTTCTGGCTGTCTTTTCTTACCTACACTGCAGCAGCTTCCCGGGTCTCCTCTCAGGTGCGGTGTCCTGTCCTCCCGCGGTGCTCATGTGGCCAAATGTGCAGACTGGGATCTGCTGTCTCTCTCTTCTCCCTCTGCTGCCTCTCTTCTCCCTCTCTCTGCTCTCTTCTCCCTCTGCTGCCTCTCTTCTCCCTCTCTCTGCTCTCTTCTCCCTCTCTCTGCTCTCTTCTCCCTCTCTCTGCTCTCTTCTCCCTCTCTCTGCTCTCTTCTCCCTCTCTCTGCTCTCTTCTCCCTCTGCTGTCTCTCTTCTCACTCTGCTGCCTCTCTTCTCCCTCTCTCTGCTCTTTTCTGGCTGTCTTTTCTTACCTACACTGCAGCAGCTTCCCGGGTCTCCTCTCAGGTGCGGTGTCCTGTCCTCCCGCGGTGCTCATGTGGCCAAATGTGCAGACTGGGAGAGGTGTCCCGCCCCTTCCCGTCTGCAGCATCTGACGAATTCAGCCGCACGAGCACCAGTGCGGGAGGACAGGATGCAGGTCAGTGAGCCGATCGCGATCTACCAGCATTTGCTTTGCGATCGACTGGTAGACCGCGATCGACCTAATGGGCACCCCTGCATTAGGGGGACCACTGAAAAAAAAACAGAAAATTATATTTTTGTCGCTGTTGTCTTGTCAGTCCCACAAGAGTCATTCTTCAGTCTAGCTTAGCTCTCCACACCAAAAAGACCCAGAGATGCCTCCTTGGCTGCTATATATACCCCCAACTAGGAAGGAAGGGACCCCTGGAGGGCAATTAAGGATAGTAGATTTCCTGAACCCCTAGAGAGCAGTATTAGGGCCTTACAAGACTGCAGTTAATTGTTTGTTTAAACCTAGCAGAGATCTCACATTTCTCGCCCCCACCAAATTTCACTCCTCCTACAGTACAGCAATAACAAGTGACTTTATATACGGCAATAACACTAAATATGACTCCATCGCCAATTGCAGCTCTTCATGCCGGCAAATTTCCACACCTCCTAAACGCCGCTATGATACAGGACGCTCCGACAGGGATAATGTCATGGAGGCAGTTAAGGGAAAATGTCGCTCGGTGTTCTCTAGTAATGATCTGTGTGATGGAGCTGCGGGCTGGAGCAATGTAGCATTTTAAATAGCTGCGCGGCGGCAATCTGCTTTTTATTAATTTTAAATGTCCCAAAGTAAATGGAAGCCTGCAAACCCACGTAAAGTGCCCATAATCACACATAATGAGATTTAATTATCCCCAGACGTGAGAGCATCTTCATCCGACAGCGCCCTATGAATTATGATGTGTAAATAAATTGAATCTAAGCGCTCAGACTTGAATACGTAATTGTGGCAGTTCACACCGCGGTTTAATGAAAACGCGGCGAGAGGATTTACCTTCTTGATTCTGACAATGAATTGAGAGTTACTTTCTGAGAGCTACTACTCAAGCGGACATCCATGCTGGGGGAGGAGGTTATTATTCCCACTGTACCCCACTGACATCATTACTGGGAGGAGGTTATTATTCCCACTATACCCCCACTGACACCATTACTGGGAGGGGGATATTATTCCCACTATACCCCCACTGACACCATTACTGGGAGGGGGATATTATTCCCACTATACCCCCACTGACACCATTACTGGGAGGGGGATATTATTCCCACTATAACCCCACTGACACCATTACTGGGAGGGGATTATTACTCCCACTGTACCCCACTGACACCATTACTGGGAGGGGATTATTACTCCCATTGTACCCCACTGATACCATTACTGGGAGGGGGGTATTATTCCCACTATACCCCACTCACACCATTACTGAGAGGAGGTTATTATTCCCACTGTATCCCCCCTGACACCATTACTGGGAGGAGGTTATTATTCCCACTGTACCCCACTAATACCATTACTGACCATTACTGGGAGGGGGATATTATTCCCACTATACCCCACTGACACCATTACTGGGAGGAGGTTATTATTCCCACTGTACCCCACTGACACCATTACTGGGAGGAAGTTGTTATTCCCACTATACCCCACTGACACCATTACTGGGAGGGGGATATTATTCCCACTATATCCCACTTACAACCTTTACTGGGAGGGGGATATTATTCCCACTGTACCCCACTGACACCATTACTGGGAGGGGGTTA